ATGACGAGATATTTAATGCAGTGGATGTGATAGAGAGCTAAACGTATTGAAAGGTTTCTGGAGTCTGAACTCACTGTCATATCGGAATATCCGATATATAGAGAATATGGGTATTTGAATAATCCAATGGTGACTTGAAAATAAATTTGGTAGTGAGAATGTGTATTTCACAGTGAAGACACGGGGATTCGGGTTGGCGTATCATGCACATGAATATATTTTGGTGAAATGTATTCAGTCTTCCGTGACTTCTGTACTGAATTTATTGTATTTTCCAACACCCAATTCGCACTAGATCGTTATCAATTTAATTGATCGATTGGATAAAAGTATGGGACAGCCTTTACAGTGAATCATTATTTTTATGAAGAATAATCTAATTAGGAACTGCGGTAGTTCGTTAATTTTTTTATAAAAACGAGATATCCCGGTCAAAGAGATGAAGTGGAAGGAAAAATCTTGAGAATGTCTTTTACAGTGAAAACAGGGAAAGAAGGGCTCAACGAACTGGGGATTACAGACTTCTCCATGCCAGAATCTCAAAATGGTTTTGTTCCACAGTTTGCACTCGCTCTCTTTTTCTCAACAAGCACTTTCATTCCTGTCAGGGAAAAATTGGAGCAACTCAAGCTCCCAAACACAGTTCTGTTCCTCATTTTTTCTTTATTTCTATTTTTTTTTTCGCGCAACCCCTCAAATTTTTTTAGACCTAAATGAATCAAAATATTAAAATATTCCCTCTAGCAATTTATCATCCGATAAATTCATGATAATTCATCAGTTTGTGAATTATCAATTATTTATAATTACACTTCCAAAAATTCAATCAACGATTTAAAATTCCCGTTTCATCTCATCGAAATTTTATGAAATCCTTTGGATTCTCGATGGAATGAATAACAGAAAAAAAGAGGATGAAACTGCTTGGTGGAAATTTTGGTTGATCTTCAAACCGAGAATTCTCTCTTGAAATTGAAAAAAATATTAACCCACATTAACACGTGGCATTCATGATGAGACCAAAGGGGATGCCAGCTTTGTTCCTGGTCTCTGTCACATGGTGCTCTTCTACATGAACCACAAGGGATGGTGAGCTGGTGAAGACCAAACGGTTTTGACATATCAAAGCCTCTGTATCCTCCCTCTTAGCTTCACTATCCCCAAGTCCTGCTTTACCCTATCTCTCTATTCCATGCATTTTCCCATGCAACGACTAATTGCCAGAAAAAAATTCTCGTTTCTTGAATAGATTGTCCACTTCAAACCCAATTTATTCACCTCATGAATTCCATTCATCATAATTAAAAAATCAGTTAAATTAATGAGAATGAAAATAATTAATTGAATTAAATTCAGTCAATGACAGATTTGAATAGATAAAATATTCTAGGCCCAAGATTTTTTTTAAATTCATCATTAAAGTCAATTGAGATTGGGGTGAATAAGATTTTTCAATCACGAATTGATGATATTCATGAGATATATATATGATGGACTATTCAATTTTGGATGGAGAACGAAAACAGGAAATTGTGGGATAATGGAACGATTCAATTACGCCATCGATTCACCAGTGAACACGAGAGAGTCGAATAGAATATTCACGTGAATTATGAATAACTGTTTTATCCTGATGAGGAATTCACCCATACAATTACAAAAATACGATTTGAAAAATAGAATGAGGCCCCAAATAAAATTTAATCCTGATAAATTTTACGACTGCGACGTACGCAAAGAGTTAAAAATCCAAATGATGTATTTTGGGAGGAATTCCATCAGTTAGAATTTGCGGGATTACGTGCGAAGCATTCAATGGGGTTTGACGAGAATATTGCCCTTTAAGAGGAATTTTAGGGTGTGTACGTGTGGAATTTAACCTCTATGAGACATACCTGTTCGCATACTATTTCCCTATAGCTTCCCTCTACACGATGTCACTCGCTTCCATATTCCCTAGCTCTGGTATTTTATTGTTCGGAGATTAAGAGGATTAAGAGATTTTTGTGACTGGCATTGAACTTCTGGATGATTTTATCCGGTTACAATGAATGGACTTCGTGATGATTTAGCATCAAGTTCATGCGGAATTAACTGTTATATTCCTGATGGTTCACCAGGATGAACCAAAGACAGCTAAGCTACAAGGCCGCAGTCACCACAGCAGCGGTTGTAGAGTAGTGTCTGAAAATTGGATTCTCACAGACGAGTGTCTCATCAATGAGATCAGCATTCAAGAGATTACGATTATTCCATTACACGAACAGAATTCAGAAGCCCAAATGACTGGATCATCACCTCAGGGATGAGAGACTTCATGTCGAAATCATTATCTCGACAACCAGTGATTGTGAGATTGATTATGATCGTTGGAATAATTAGAATTGACTCGTCTGTGCAGAATTTATACAATGGAGTTGGACCGTGAATGTTTCGATTCAGATTCAGCAGAGGAAGTGACACTAGTGACTGGAGGATTCCCGCACCGAGACATCTTGACACTCGGTTGGTCAATTACTTTCTAACAAGTGTCATGATAACTGATGCTGGCATATTTGACAGAACAATCCGGACTCCACTTAATTCACGGGAATTTTAATCGATTTTAATCGATTTTGGAAATCCACTTCCTGTGGAATCCGATAATTATTCCTATTACATTCAACTGTACCATTCAGACCTCTAAAAACTGTTGAAAATATCGCAATGATACGAGAAACGACAAAAATACCCACGCCCTCAGTAAAACGAAATAATAAAAATAAAATCCTCGAGACATCAATTTCACTAATAAAATAACCAATTAAACCTCGAAAAGAATGACACATTCATGTCGTCATGAACCCGAGATTAATTAAAATTCCACTTAAAATTCAACCCTCGAAATATCGTCATGGATTTAACACGCATGGAGAGGCACTGAAATTTTCATTTCAATTTATGATAACATTATTTGATGACACACGAATTGATGGTATTTCCATACACCTGTTATCCCATCCACTCTTATAAATTGTTCATAATTTGATTGGCCGGAATGATGATAAAAGGAAGCTGTGGTAGCATAGACCAACTAGAGGGAGGTTTTACCGGTTGGATAATCGTAACCATAAATCATGGTGGTTGCCCGCTGCTAATATCACTAATGTCGCACGGGGTATACCACACCGACACCTGGGACCATTTGCGAAATAGAGTATGTTCCTATGGCTCTCAGATGCTAAGTATCTTTGCAACTTGGATACTGCACTCAGAATAATTCAAGTGTCAACATCACAATCAATTTCAATTACCAGACAACAACTTATGGAAAAAATTATTGAAATATATGAGACGAGTCCTCAACAAATTACGAATGAAGAGTTTGAAGAGTGTGAAAAATTATCTTGAAAATGGAAAATGAAAAAATAGAGAAAGCCCTTTCCAATCGTTCTTTTCCTTCAATCGAGTTTGAGGGAAAATGACAAGAGAAAAAATATTGTGACCCGGAAAAGCTCTTTCCTCTTTCATGATAAACTGTCTAAGGTTGTCTCGTCATTTGGACCTCCCTCAGACCCCTCGGACGTGCAACATATCGACCGGAACGATATTGCTTCTCGTGTGAACACCAGACAAATGTGGAGCTAGTCCCTTAGGCGGTTGTCGACGCTTGGAACGTGCTTACTCAACCCCTTTCATTGTTATTTTGTTTTTTTTTTTCATTGCCTCCTATTGACCCCCTCCCAAAGAACCAGCAGAGAATAGAAATACCATTCAATTTCCGTGAGTCTCGTTTTACGAGAACCATTAAAAAAAAACACAACCCTACTACCCCTCCAATGATGACGTAAAAGTGCATAAAGAAAAATATAAAAAAAAAATGTTCAAATGGAAATGAAAAAGCTCTTGGCTCCTCAGCCCTCTAATTCCGCTTGTGCACTGGCACTTTGTCCTGCATTTGGACGTGCGAGTGTTGAGGGAAAAAATTTGACTCCCGAGTTGAGTTCAATTAAAAACTTCCTTTTTTTTCAACCTCGTCAATTTTTTTCCCATTCATTCTCGGAGAGACGGTCCCGGGGGTACAAACATATTCTACGTAGGAGTAAATGCCCTCGACTTTTATTTTGTTTGGTGTTTACTCTTTCGGTGAGCCCTCGAGCAATTGAGAGGAGTAGGAAATGAAATTAATGATTGGTCGATGAGGAAAAAATGGATTTTTCGAATCGCAGAGCCAGGAAAAATAAGAAAATCAAACGAGATGACCATTGGAAAAATAAAATAGGATGACAATCTTCCCTACTCCTACATCGTCGATCCTGACCCCCAAAAAAATTCCCTCACCTCCGTAAGATCATAAGCTACGTAGAAAATCCCTGAGAAATCTTATGAACCTATTCTCATCCGTGATATTTCCATATTTAAAACGACTTCACCATAAAAATTCAATCTCACTCGTTATATTTTATCCCAATGTTTCTCCTCATTATTATCCTCTTAACCCACTCACCGGGTGAAATCCCCCGGTTTTCAACATTGAAAAAAGACTCCAGTCTGCCATTCATTTCTACAAGTGAGAAGGTAAGAGGGAGAGAGAGAGGAAGCAAAAAAATGAGCGACAGTGAAACCAAGTCTAGCAATTCCCCCATCCCTTTCTTTTCAATTTCTTTTCCAGTCTCATGCAAAATCCAGAATCCTCATATCTATACCCTGTCCCACCATCATTGTTCGAATTCTCAAAGTGTTAAGGCGAGAATTTCATCCCTTGAAACGAAACAATTGCAACGGCTGTATCTGTGTGGTATAATGCCAAGAGGTAGTATGAACTTTGAGTGAAAATGCCCTACCCCGGAGACTGACTAAAGTTCAAGGGATGGAACGAGAATAATAAAGCAACAGTTGGAGCGTCTTTTAATCCAGTGACTTTGTGTCCAAGTTTATGGGATCTTTCAGATAGTCAACTCTGAATTCGTCCCTCATTCCCTCTGACGAGGGTTGCGAGGGGTTGAAATACAACTTTTATTTCTCAGACCTTTTTTTTTCCACTTTCTTCTCAAACTCTCTCGCTATCCGAAAAATTACTTAGAAATCAACTGATACTTTTCACCACAACTGGACACCATTCCAGTGGATTTGTGGTTTCTATCTGAGGAAAAGACGAAAGGATTCTCCAACAATTCCTATTGCAATCCAACAAATCTCTAGTGATTCGACACAAAAAAGGTTTCACGGCTAATTAAATAATTATTCCCCTCCCCCTTGCGTAATTTTTCATTCACGGCTTAATGATTTCGATAAATATCGAGAATTTCAACTTCTCGAAAATGACTTTTGCTTTTCAAACCCGAGATCAGAGAGGACCTGCCTATAGTGCAGTGATTTAATTAAATTCCGGCTTTCAGATTAAACTCAATCGTAATGAACTGCATAATCTAGGTTTGTCCCTTGTAAAGCAATTGTCACTAGATTCAACAGATAAATAATGATGGTGCATACCTGTTTGAGCCATCCCCGCCACAAATCCCTGTCCCATGGATGGTGAAAGCCCAGGTATAGATGTCTTGCGTCAGGATGATGAGAGGATTGCGATGACAATGACTCTCCATCGTCGTTAAATTGCTCTGGGCTATCCTCCAGTTGATGTTGGCTGATCCTTGGATAACCAGTGACGCGCAGAACGAGCTTGCCAAGCCGAGATGGGGCATAACACACTGCACCACTATTCAGCTCAATCCATTCTGGTCGAGACTCCGGACACCCTGAAACATAAATTGTTAATAAAATGTAACCCAATGTCTAGTTATCATCGCTGGGGTATTTAATGGATGAGAAAAATCCCATGAGTTCCAATTCCCATTTAAGATCGTGACGTAATGATTTGTTGGGTAATTATATTCCAGGAAAAATATAGTTGGAAAAATATGATATCATTTGTAGAATACAATAAAAATATGGGATTCAGCTCCACTCGTTATCGCCATTGTCATTTTCTACCAGAGAAAAATAGAGTTTACTTCTTCGAAGGATTATCCTCCCACTTCTCATGACAAATGCTTGTGCATCTGAGTAAGGGAAAAAGTAAGTGCATGTTCAGCCGTAAAATATATCCACAACGTCTAGTGCTTCCGGAAGATACATTAATTTTACGGATCATTAGGGCATGTACCTAGTACTTTAATGCTCTGAGATTAACCATTACGTGAAATCCTTGAAATTTCATTATTTTTGGTGCCTCATTGGACTCTCAGTGGAGCTAACAAGCCAACCATTCGTGGGGACAATTAAACAGCTTATTGTTTTCCAGTTAATGGTCGTAATTAATTCCGTGATATCAATTATCCATTGAAAATAATTTTTCTGGTCGTTAGTGATTTTAATTGGAGATCTTTCAGTGGGTGGCACTTTTTTTTTCTTCTCGAATTTTTCAATTGATCTGTCTGTCGTTTTAATTCCATTAGAATAATTATTTTTTCTCTATTTTTGATATGATACTTCACCCATCTGCGGGTTATATGAGAATTCCAAACTTTAGCCATAACGAGGTGGAGGGGAAAGGGTGGTTACTAGGTTGTGGCCAGTGTGCGGTAAAGTCGGAAATGCTTTCTGGTAACGGTGTGGCAGCTGGCTTTGAGAGCCTTCCTCGTGGATTACTTTTGGGTTACGCACTTGGAATATGCAACGAGGGAGTAAAAAATTTCATCCACTTCAATTCTCACAAATGTAATTTACACGAGTGAGAGTTTGTCTGAACTAGCGAGTGATTTTTATGCCCTTTAGGATCCGTCAATTTATTCAGAACTCGGTGGATAATTATTGAAACTTGAGCGTCTGTTGGGGATGCTTTTTTTGGCTCGAGATGAAGGAATTTTCTTCATTGAATTTATATGAAGTTTAATTAATTTTGAAGATATTTTCTGAAATGGAAGTCGACAGGTGAGTATAAACTTGAAAACTTGTTGAAAATGAGAGAAAAAAAAATGACAAGTCTTGAATTAAAGAGTGAGCATTTGAGAATTGAGGATTGAGGATTCACTGGGCCCATTGGCACTTATTTTTCGTGTGCCCTATCGTCAGCTGATCGAGTACACGGTGGCTATCGTAAATCAATGCCACCTCGCGCCACTGAATTTTCCGAAGGGTGAACTCGTTGACCCGTAGTTGGTTATAGAAAGGACTCTGTCAATCGAACCAGAAACGAATTGTCCACTGGCCATATCTCTTGGTCCTTTTCCAAAGGCTCACCAGGATTTTTGGTTATCGAAACTTTCGATACGCGTTTGGACACCGTTTCAGCCAATTGTTCTTTTTTCTCCCTTTTTATCCCACTATTTTTTTTCCTGGTTTTACCGACACCTCCATTCTGGTGGCGATCGTTTCGATAGTTGACTCGGTCCATAGTGCCAAAAGGATCGAATTTACACTCTTTGATCTCAATATTTTCACCTTTTTAAATTATTTCAACTCGTGTTTGTTCAATAGCCATTTTTTTTATTCTAGTTCAGCGGAATTCAAAGCGCCTCACATTGAAAATTCACGGAATTTTGGGATTGGAAATGGTTGAAATATTTTTTATTTCAATTACGCGAGAAGTGAATTTCTACAGGCGAATTTTTCAAGTCTTCCTTTTTCAGATGTATGGAATTTGATTACATCATTCCCGCGTTTTTCGCGGTATTTTTATCGCGAACACGGGGATCTAATCGAATGAGCAATAAAATCTCAATTATCTCGACAATTATGTGGAAATGGAATCGTCACGATGTGTTTTCCGAGTGTGATTTTCTCGTCAATCCACGAAAATCCCTTCACCAAGTGATAATCACCGATTCCAACAAATTAACAACCCCTCCTACCCCCCATTACTCGACACCGATTGAAATTAGACAAGAAAATGACAGCGAGAGGGGTGAACAGCGTGTGCAAAACTGCTGGAATAATTACGATACCGTCAAAGTTTAACAATAAGTTAATGTTCGATGGGTGGTGGGGGTGTGTCTGAGAGACCAGCACGACTTTGCCACTTCAACAATTAAAACTTTTCACAGCCGTTCATTATCGATGGTAAAGGGATGGGAAGCGCCAAACGCGTTTATTATGAAGTCTCCTCTTCGGAAACTTTATCCACCTACCGATAATGCTTTTAGTTTTAATTCGTTCAATGGAGTTCTTTCAGTCCCACCCATTCAGAACGATATCTTATGATATTCCACAAGTTATTGTTGTTAAACTTCTCCAGAGAGCAATTTTTTTATTAAATTTATCCCGTTTTGTGATCGTTTACGCCATTCCCCGACTTTTCAAACCAACAATTGTTTTTCTTTCTTTTTAATTTTTAGATAAAAATAAATTGATTGCAGATAATATTTTTTCGGTATTGTTGTCGTTGATTAAATGAAATATTCATGATATTAATAATACGGTTGGAGTTGGTTTGAGAAAATGTAATGAAAAAAAATTGAAGAGATTTCTTCTCTCTTTCAGCTTGTGGTAAAGTTTTCGTACAGATGGATAAAAGATTGACCCCGATGTTGTCATTGAATTAAAGCAATGGAGAATGAATTCACTGAGGCATTTGATGCAACAAAGAAACGCTATAATCCGAATAGGAAAGTTGTTTTCCTTTGGATACGGATAAAAGCCAGTCCTTTTTTTTTCACCGCGGACCATTCGACGCCCCTTCAATCACGGTAATGGCTCCTGAGGTACTACCGGCTCTTGGGATATTTCGTCTTCAATTTTATAGTCTTTTCGGTACTTTAAGGCTTCCAAGTTTGTACATACATGCATTTCCATTCGGTGATTGCAAGATTTAGTGGAGTTTTCAACAAGAGAATAGAAATAATTAATTGAAAATCAAAATTGAAGTTAAAATGATGAAATTCAAACCAGATGACAATTATTAATAATTATTGTTACTGCTCTCATTTTTGTTTAAATAAAAAAAATTAATTTCAATTGTGATGTTGAATTTTCTGATTGATCTTTGATAAAAATTCCTATTTTCACCCCATCAAATTATTTTTACTTTCAATTTCAAATCCTGAGAGCTGGAGCTCGCAATCAGATTTAAGTTGCACATTTAAAATTCATTTGAATTAGGGAATTCCCTGGATTGCTCGTCGAGCACGAACTCAGCAACAAACAAGATTTGGTAGTGGTTAACCCACACCATGGAACCCTTTGCAACATCACCATTGGGTACCCTCGGCACTATCCTGATCACCCGACATCGATCCGATTGACAAAAACTTCATTACGAAAACAGCTAGGCCGAAGAAATCGCAAAAAAAAAAATAAATGGCAGATCGAAAACGCAAATAATTAAATCCTTTTCCATTCCCATTCAACATTTCAGAAAATGATTCCCTATTCCAGATTATCTGAATTGTTTAGCAATTTTTAATCTGATTATTCGATCAATGAACTCGGTTGAAGATATTTAAATGGAATAATTCTCTACAGCCCTTCAGATTATTCGCGCATGCTGAGAGAGACAAATCACTGATTTGGAATTTGCATGATTACAATCCATCCACTCGAAAGCCACTCGACAGCAATAAAACCAAAAATTTATTGACCAAGAGGCATCGAACGGAATTTCCCAATGTGTATTCATTATTCGACTCTATTTCACGTTCTCTTTTTATCAGAAAGCATCACTTGCTGGTCAAACTCAGTGAAGTACTTGCAAACATTTCAAGCTCTTCGACTATTTTCTCATTTCCGATTTCGGTTTGAACGCTCGTATCAAAGTACCGGCTTCCCTATCCAAGTTTTCATTTAATTGGAAAAGAGAGAAGAATTAAACAGACAAACTTTTTTCTCTGTGGGGGAGAAAACCTCGAATGCGTTGCGAATTTTTTCAATCATAAAATTTCTTAATCAAACAATTTTGCCTCGAGTGCAGAAGCAGAGAATTATTTCTCCACTTTTTTTCTCATTATTAATTAAAAAAATACATAATTTCTTCTTCAAATATCGAGAATTAATGAAAATTTAATGAGAATTTTCATGATTAATTGAAATTTGACAAGTACTTTAAAAACGTCAAGAGAAATTCATGAATATTTCATTATCTACTGATATGAATTTCTATTTTTCATTATAATTTGAAAGATGAGCGCGAAGATACGGGGGAATAAATAACCCCCGATGCAAAAGAAGATGAAATAAGTTGTCTTATTATGTTGAGAGGGAAATTTCTCCGGAAAGAACATGAATCTACTCACCAGGATAGAGGAAGAGGCGGGATCCGATGACAGCCAGAGCACGTTTTTTCCACTGTGGAAAAACCAGTCCTTTCAGGATGAGAACATTTCCAGAACGGCTGTGACCAAAAAGGTCAGGGGTAGGTCCCACTGGTCCTGAAAAACGAAAACCAATGAAAATATAACAAGGAAAAAAAATCCACAATTTATCAATATTAAATAATAACAATACGGATCTAATTATACGCAATTAATTAGCGTAATTAACTGCTCGTCCCTGTACAGGGAATTCCAGAGAAATGTCACATTTTTTAATATCAAGTTTTAATCATCGAGATAATTGCGTAATTAATGAAAATTTGACATGCGTTTCGTTGGAAAATTTTATTTCCACAAATAACTGCAAATCCTCGGTATCCAATGTCGTTTATGAATCTGTGCAATCCTCACCCCATGGACATGATTTTTTTTTCTCCACAAATAAAATGGAATTGAAGCGTTTTTTGCGTGATAAAATGCTTGCAAAACGATTCTCTCTTGTGCATGATAATGCTCATTGGAACAGAATGAAATATACAGAGTTAAAAACAATACCATCAAACTCCCACATTTCTTCAGATAAATAACAATGAAATTACCCCAAACCGAACCAAAAAAAAAAATGGCAGTCCGCTCGAACAATTCACGAAAAAACGATTCTATCATCGACAAATATCGCCACGACAAAAAAAACAATTTGCATCATCGATTAATTGAAAAATAAATAAATAAATACAAGAATAAATAAATTCAATCCTGTATTTTTTATTGATAATTATTAATATTACTTTTAAAGCTTGAAAATTGCAATTAAAGTTCGATCAGACTTCCTGAATTATTTTTTTAAGTTTTTTTTTTAATTTAAATTATTTGGTGGAGTGATGCGGAAGCGGTTGTTGTAATTTATGACGTGACATGATAGGCTTTCTGGGAAAATAGTGTAATCGAAGCGTTGCACGTGCACAAAGGACCTAAATTACTGTGTCGATACACTAATGTCAGGAGAAGATACTGGATCGGTCTTCTCCTGGTGAAACCCGGGGAATAGCACGCAGATTATCGCAATCGCACAATTAATCTGATTTGTCGATGCTTTAATCACATCCAGAAATTTTTTTAAATCTGATCTCACTGTTCATTCTGAATTCAAGTTTACAGTAATATTTATCATTGAAAAAATCAACAATCCCCATCACTCGAAACTCAGACTTAAAAATCGATGAATTATAGGGAAAAATCTCATCAATGATTTCCGTCATATCAAGTTCACCTCGAGTTATAATTGACGAGATTTGAAAAGCCCTAGGGCACACATGATTGCACATGAAAACTGGAATGAGCAAGTGAGAACAAAGAAAGGGGTAGGGATTGAATGTAAAATGAAAAGAGGAATTTCAACGGTTGGTACAACAATGAGCAACCAATGAACTGTCGAGTATTAATGAAGGGAATGGCTCTCCAGTATTTTCAGAAAACGAATCGACTCATTGACGTTATTCTCGCTCGACTTAATTCTGAGTATTGAATCGCTAAATGAGGTGGAGAAGGAAGGAATATTGGAATGAAGGTCGTGCCATTAATATTACAATGGATGGCCTGTACATGAAATTTAAACTGAAGACCAGACATGACCCGAAGGTGCCACAGAACCCACCAGCTGGAACCGATGGATTTTTAATGCTTTCTGCATTGTACAAAATCTTTTATAAACGAGACTATTTTTCCCCTGTCAATATTTACCGAGTAATAATTTTTTAAATATTCATTTAAATTCCCTTCAAGTACCAAGTGATTGAGCCCGAGTTAGATTCACAAGTTACTCGTGGAAAATTATTTCCAGAACAAATTGATCTTCCGAACTTGCTCATGACGTACTAGTCGGCTTGTATTGATGCTTCCAAGAGTTACACAAAACTGGCCCCCCAAAATCCCCCAGTGGACTCACCCTGGGTTACATTTCGAGAGTAACTTCAGACACAAGGTTGACGTGTGCAGAGAGAGTGCAAGAGGGTATCAGTCCAAAATCCATAGAGTGAAACCGAGCTTCAGTCCAAGTTCAACAACTGGTGTATAATACCACTGAAACTCGGCCAACCATGGAGAACACTGAGAAAATCATACCTTTTCAACATTTAGAATGGACAAATATTGATGAAATTTTCAGGAAAACATGTTCACTCCATGAATTTGTGACGGATATTCCCGAGAGTTTAACGATTTAGAGATCATCAAGCAATTACCACTTCTCCATTAATTTATTTTATTACTGAGAATTTCTGACTCTAGAAATGAATGCCATTTGGTTCTGTAAAAAATCAGTGTATTCTGGGAAAAAAAAATCGCAAGCTAAATATGGAAAAATGGAAAATCCTTCATGAAGGAATTTTAAATGGAATAATTTCAAATGAGACTCAATCAAAAATTATATTTAAAAAAATTCCGAGCATCTTTGAATTATCTGCTCAAATAATTCGCAAATATTTGCTGTGGGGATAATCATCACGAGTTTTGATTAATTTCCACTGACGCAATGATGTTTAGAATTCAATGTTTACCGTAATCATCATTCGCTGGGATTTTCATTATTTTCCCATTGCCCACGGCAAAACATCTTGTCAACATGGTAAATAGATGGTTCAATACAAATTCATCAACTAAAATGAAATGAATATGTACCGAGGAGATTGCGCAGTGATCGAATTATCCGAAAATTCGATGCTTTGAACGCATGATTGTCTTCTATAACAATTCATCTCTTGTCACGGTGAAAGCCCGGAGGTATTGTTCAATCACAGAAAACACATCACAGAGATTGCTGGTGTCAATATAAAAAATCACAGAGAAACAATGGACATCCTATTTCCGATTTTTCAACGGCTGTGCGTGATCTTTTGAAATACGCATACAATGACAATGTACATATTGCCAATGTACTCTTTTATGATGTAGATCAATTGATTATTTAATATTGGAAATTGTAGCAAAGGAAATCAAAACGTTTTTTCTAAAAATTATCATTTGCGCGGATTACACGTAAAAAAATGATCATTCGAGATCAATAAAATATTTTTTTATACTATAGACTATTTATTATTTTTCAATTATTCCTTTTCTGCAAAAAAATAAAATACTATTGACTTTTCGATGGGAATTTTCATATGTTTTTGAATAGCCGCGGATTGTCCCGGGAGTAGATAATTCTCATATTCCTCTCGATATCGCGAACTGGCATTTTAATCGTCGGATGGAAATACCCTGCCCCGACGAATAACAGTATCCAGCCATTAATTTGTCTGAAGGCGGTTGTTATCCATGTGTTGCTTTTTTTTCTAAACTCGGTATCACGACTGCAATAAAATTAGAACAATTCCCGGGAATTTGTGTTCTATTATTCCATGATTAATAACAAAGGGAGGGGAATAACTCGGTACCTAAACACCTGTGATTAAATAAAAAAGACCTGGTGTGTTGATGTTGGGGATTCAGATTGCCATTCGATTTTAATTCGCGGACATTTTTCTCGTTTTTAGCATGTCGCAATAATATTAAATAAAAGAACGGAAAAAAGAATGGGAAATTGTCACATGATTAATGACAATTTCCGAGGATTTTCGTCAATATTCAATGACTGGATCTTTTATCAGATGTTCGTATTCTTACAGTGAGTACAGACTCGCGATTTGACTAAACCGCATTTGAATAATTCGATATTCCGGGGTTGAACTAACGGTGGAATACTTCCCGGACATGTCGTATATACCGTGGATTATTCATTGGGATTTTTATATAATTTTCATGAGGCGGATATTGTAGACGATATGTTCGGGATAAAGTGTGTAGTGAGGAAAGCATTTATAAATATTTTCGCGGGGAAATTCATACCGGATCAAATTTTGTACAGATTATTTTCTGGATATCGCGGAAATTTCTGGAGTTAATGGGAAGAGTTTTTTTTTCTTGGATGATCCCTCGCAGAAATTTTAAAAAGCTTCTTGCAGGATTTATCTCTAATTTTAGAACTGCATTCACAATGTTTTCCACTAGCGAAAAATAATTATTAATCCGTGTATTATTTCGCAAAACCTTTCATGTTATACGGTATTTTATTGAATCGATTCGATTGAACTGAGTTAAGCCGGAAAATTCTATTGAATCAGTGAATATTTCAGATGAATGCGAAATTGCTGGATTATTTTTAATATCTAGAAAATGTTTGGAACTCTCGGTTTTTCACGAGTTCATTTTAGTTTTTTTGTAACGTCAACTCACCAACATGAAAACCGATGAGATGACGTAACTCAGGATCAACTCCGAGTCGTGCTCGTCGGGTAGTTTCCTCAAATCCCAGCTGTTTCAGAAATTCATCCTGTAACTCAAGCGGTCGCTCATCCGGCGACATTCGTCGTCCTGTTTCTCCCCCATACTGAAAAAATCATAATTGAACCTGAGATTAATAATAATTAAAAAAATTCACCAGGCTAGAATTTTCAATTCTAAATCATGTCGATTAAATTATTTTGCTAATTAAAGAGAAGTTTAGAAAGGAAAACAGAAAAATGATTTTATTTAATAAATCGAATATTTTATTTTGCAAAGTTGAGATGATAGTGGGAGGAACCGCAGAATGAAGTAGTCATTTTCCACTTTCTTCCTCTGAGCATGAATTTTCCGTTTAAAACTCTCAGCAGTGTCTTGCACCGTAAATTAAAGTCGAATTGGAAATGGCCGAGTTCAGCTGGAATTCCAGGGGTGCAAACTTCCCTTCAGGTTTTCCACTGACACGCTCGTTATCCCCAACGGATTCGGTGGTATGGAGAGTTTTAGCTCCATACATTCTACGATATATCTATATACTAGCATGTACCTAACAAATCGATTGGGTTTTCCGGGCTTTTGCAGAAAGGTGGAAATTTCGCTTCACTGGATTATCATCTCTACCTAAATCATACAGCATTTTCCAACTGCTGAGGATGAGATAACTGCCATTATTTTGCATTTGATCAAGTGATTAAATCTTCAATCATTATTCAAAGCTCAATAAAATCACTTATTAATGATTATATTACCCCACCTACTGAGCTAGTCCACGATATTTTATTCCAATGAAATATTCCAATGGAGCAATTCAAATTAAACGAAAAATTGTGGATTCCAACGCTTCGACAACACGAAAACTCGAACAAATCGTCGAACAATCGCAAAACGTTCATTGAACAGCGAAAAAAAATGGGCGAAACAATAAACAAAAATTTAATTAAAAAGTTGTAAATCACCTCTACTATTTTCCCTAGACGAAGAAGAGTAAAAATCTGAGCATTGTGGATAAGACTACAGAGAAATTCCTCTGGAGTCGAAGAAAGTTGGGCCGTCCAATTATAAAAGTGATCGCCAAGTTGTGGAGCAAGTTGAGAGGTTTATAAGTCAATAAAATGGAAAATAAAAGGTAGAATGGAATGGAGTGATGGAAAGAGGGAAATATTTCCGGCTCATCTGAACTTTTCTCGTGGTAGTGAGCATTCAACGGATATGGAGGCCGACTGGTGCATTTGGACTTCTTGAGATTTCTGAGTAATTAACGAAACTCATTATGAGGTGCCATGGAGCGTTGGATGGTGACACTCACCAAAGGGAATTGGGTACGTTGGCTTTGCTCTCTCACCTGGAGTCCAGGGGCTTCTCAGAGACACCTCGTTGGATTTATCCAGAATGTCACAGGGCCAGTGGCACGTTTAATTGCTTGGTGATCACGAATTTGATGCCAGGATACAGCAATTATTCAAGTGATGAGAGATGCATATCGATCATTATGCATTCCTTTGAGGGGATTGGTTCAACATTCCTTTTGACATTCCATTACTAATTATAGATTCGTCTTTGATGCTAATTAGAGGAACAATTCAGAGATATTCTTAACTATTCATTGTCAATGGTTTATTTCTCTTAGTCGCGCGCTAATTGAGAATTTGTGGAAGATGAATTTAATTGATGGAAAAAATTCAATATTTCTGGGGATTCAGAAAAAAATTCATTCTCTCAAAGAAGTGTTGGGGTTAACTAGAAGTTGGTTTACGATTCCAGTTGTCAAGTGAGAAATGAAAAATATATCCAATTAGGTTTAAAAAAAACTCGGGCACCTGTAAACCCTGACCTGCAGTTAACACCATTTCCAGTTTAATAACTGCGATTTCAGGAAGGGATTTGATGTTAAATTGAGTTCTGGGATTATGGAGAAATGAAAAATGCACGAGGGGTGTAGGTGGATAGCTTGAACGTACGTTTTATGAGAACTTCCATGTTACTCATTTAGTTTTCGTATTTTTTTTTATGAATCTTTTAATCTCTGGTTATTTTATCTTTGTTTATAATAAAAATTTTTTGCTGTGCTTTACGGTTTCAGTCGGTTCTAATTATCAGGTGATGGGGCTACCCTAGTTTGTTATCTCCACGCAAACATTTTCAATTCATGATTTAATGTATTTTCTCTCTGGTGTACCGTTTCTCAGTGCAGCTTGTTTGATGCAAAAAATTACAGCGAAACTCGAATGAGAAATGTCATTTGGGTATTCAATGCAAATTCCCCTTCCGATATTAATAAACAAACAAATGGATTTACATGAAAATCCACGCTGACATATTTGAATGAATCATGATCATTCAAATAAAAACTTGACGGGCATTGAAAAATAAAATTTTGTAAAATTAAACTGACCTCCCAAATAAATGAATTTATCACGGATCCTCAAGCAATAATCGAAAAAAATAAAATGTCCAGTGAAGATAGATATTCTCTCGCCTTTCATGTCGGGACACGTGTCTCAATTTTTTTTTTCCTTCTCCTTTTTATTTAAGGTCGAAGTTATTGGACACGAGTCGTGACCAGAGCATTTGGAATATTTGAGAACGCACCTGTCGTACCCTGAGAGACAGGTGCGCAATTTTTCCTCAACGAAATCGATTTAACTTTCCTCGAAACGTGGAACTGAAGGCCTTGAGACCTTTCACGGGTGTTCATGGATAAAAAAAATAATCAATCCCTCGATTTTGATCCCAGAAGAAGAATAAACCTTTGACATATCGACTCATACATGAACTCGTTATCAAGCAACTCTAGTATTTCCATCCTCTATCCTGCAAACTGCCTGGGAAATCCTGTTCTAGATTGGAATAACGTCTTATAGTCAGTTTCGTCGTTGTGTACCATGACCCAGATACGTCTTTGGTGGGATATCCTGAGGATTCTGAGGTGAGCCTTGGATAAATCCTCTACAGTACCACGAAAATTTCATCTCGATAGTCCCCTACGTACTCTCGTGATGCTCGTTACAGTACCCTGTCATTTTGTACCATCAAACCTGATGGAAATCTGCCTCAAACTTTTGCATATTTAAATTAATCCAGTGCATCATGTTCCCGTAATTACGAAGGTAATTACAATTCATTTCGAGATTGACTCCGCATGATTCAATTATTCATTGACATTCGAATATCGAGAGAGCTATCTATTGAGGAAAATAATGGCTCATGCTAAAGGATATTTATGGACCAAAAATAGAAGTACGAAAATTATAAGATTCGGGTTGATAACAGCAAAACCTCGGGAATCGGAGACGAATTATGGAGACGTCTGTGATGTCTTCAAAGAATTGAGTGGAGAAGAAACCAGGGGTAAGGAAAGATTCATCCTTTTTTTTTGGTAGCCGCCTCTGGGATTGTGAAGACATGAACGAGGGGAGGAAAATATTCTATTGACGAACTCGACTGCTGAAGCTGTGTCAGTCATACCAAATAACCCTCTGGGTTTCTCTGATCCTCCGATCCTCATCCTCTCCTGTCTCAATCGTTGGTATCATCACAGAAAATATTTCCGGATGAGAATGGAGATCGTCATTCCATTTTTTTTATGATTTTCAGAGGTCGGAGGTGAATCGAAAACATCGTTTGACGTGAGATTTTTGGTGAGGACATTTGAGGAATGATTTTCGATTTTTGTTTCCAATTCGGTTTACGGAAATATCTTTTTCGAGAGCTTCTAATGGAGCGTCAAATCTGAATTGGATTTGACGATGATTTTCATGAAGATTGGTGGATGCAGACTTGCCTGACCTAAATTTTCCCGATAATTTCATCCCCTAAACCACTAGATGACTGTAATTTAAAACTTTTACGTCGAGATCTGACGCAAACAAAGCCATCTCAGATTACATTTATCCCCCTCATCCCCCTAAAAATGTATTCTCAGCTCTCATTTCGCTATTGAATCCAATTCAATATTTTACCTCTCTAAAGAAGATGATAACCTCACCGGAAATAGGAACCGAGGGATTGTGATGCCCCTTCGATATTGATCGCATTGATCATTTGATGAAAAAGGGTCAATAATGAGTTGATAGCCCGAAGACTTGGGTTATTCTCAATATCATTCGGAAAAGCTCACCTCCGTCTCTTCTCATATTTTCTTCGATATTTTTTCCCCACGCCCGGGGAGCCTGTACCCAAGTGGAACGAATCCGTCCGAAGGTCTCTACGGATAACTGCGAATATCCCCTTACCACATCCCAGGTGTATTCACATGCTTTCTTATACTCCCCCCAAACGTATTGGCTTTATTATTTCGAGACTAATAATGGTATTTTGATTGAAAAGCTTTTTCAGCCTCTTGACGGCATCAATTCGTCATTTTCCAGACATTATCTCTCTGAAATAACGAAAGTCTCAGGAAAAAAATCGAAATAAATTGATCGGGTAATTCAATTCGATTGAAAAATCGAGGATTGTATTGATTTGAAGATACAACGACCTTGTAACTTTAATTGCTGTGAAGGCATTTGGAATTCACTTTGATACGATGGACCGCCTTTCAGAAATCAAATGTCTTCGAATGGAAAATCAAATAACTGAATTTCAAGGAATTCCCGAGGAAAAGGAATGATTACATCGAGTTTTCTGACTATTTTTCGAATTATCTGAAAATACCCTGGAGTCAAATAATTGAAGCGAATTCTCTTCAGGTCTTTTGAAAATTTCAAAAGCCCAAACACTCGAGTCCAAACGAGACCAATTAATTAATTTTTCCCATCGAAATTCCGTTTTTATTTCCACATTTGCTCACGACTTCAGGCAATGGATGAAGTATCTTCGAATAATTAAAATATCACCTAGAATTTTATCCTTTTTTTTTGCTCTGTATCAGAATTTATATCCCCAAGAAATTATAGTTATAAGTTTCAGTCTCACGACGGCACAACATTGCCAATTAATTCCGTTAATTTTCCCGATAAACTCAGCAAAACTATCCCCTGAAAAAAGCCAACTGCACAGAAAAAGGGTTGAGCTTGCGCCATGAAAACCCATGCCTGGAGGTGTCTGGTGACTATAACCGATTCAAATAATATTCTCGTTTGCATCGATTATCAGTAATCGGGTCAAAATATATAGAAAGCACATGGTTGAGTCCCAGTGTTTCACAAGAAGGCGAGTACCCCATAATTTTCAACGAAATGTCATCGCAGTTATTTCAGTACCAGCGAAAGGAAGTGCTAATAATTCCCTCTATAAAATACATATTTTCGAGAGTGGAACGAAATTCTATGCGCATTTGGGAATTAAATAGATGACCAGGAGGACGAAAAGGAATCGGTCCATATCCTCTCGTCATTTATATTTAAATGAGATCATGGATTATGCAAAAGAGAAGATAAAATATTACATTACCTGAACATAGATCGCCAATTCATCACCAAGCAGCATATCCCTGCATATATCCTTGGTAGTGGTATCAACAGTGAGATAGACAAGACTACTCTCAATTCCCGTGTGAATTCTGACCCATCCATTGCCAGTTCCAACATCGATTCCAACACCCGAATCCCACGAGGAATTAAATGTTTCCTGGTTACTAGTGTCCTTTCCATTCACCTTCGAACTGGGAGTGGTACACTGGATGGAATCCTCACTGAAAGTGTCCTCTCCCGTGCCCTCATCGACATTTCCATCGCCATCACCATTCTTCTCATTGTCAAACCGTCCAATGGTCTCATTCAAATTATCCAGAATCTCCTTCTCCAAGCCTCTAGTCTCATTCCCTCTCCCATCATCTCCATCAGTCGATTCCCGACTGTTCCTCAATCTCTTCTCCATTCTCTGATCCTGCTTCAAAGACGTGTACAACTCGTCCTTCCAACTCCTCATGTTCATATTTGATTCTGGATAAACCTTGGAGGACTCAAGCAGATTTTTATCGAATGCACCCTCACTATTTTTGATATTCTCATCCTCTTTCGTTTCTACCTTCTCCGAGTGAAATTGAGTCGGTGAATGAGTGCCCGTTTCAACTGCAGATCTATTCATCTCAGACTTCAATGATCCTTTCAAATGCTCTCCTTCAAACTCGGGTTTAGACGTCATGATGAAGTTTTCGTTGACGGAAGCTGAAGTCTTCACTTTGTGATGGGAGTTGAGCTTTTTCAGACTTCTCTTGACGCTTCCGATTTTAGTGAATGAGTCTTCAGGATTTCGATTGTCTTTTGGATCGAAGTCTTCTGCAACCCTGTGAACCATCGCCTTCTCAATCAGCTGATGATTGCGTAGCTCTTTGGGTGTCTTTGACTTGTTCTTTGAGGTGATCTCGGAGTAGACGTGCTCGGTATTTGGTTCCTTGTGTCTGAGATCCGACAGAGCTGGTCTGACCCGTGACGATGATGATGTAGACCTCTTGGAAGTCTTCAACGTGTCCGATTTCACTGTGGTCATCACCTTGGGGTTGAGTTTCTTGGACTTGGATTGAATCCTCTCGTAATTAGCGAGAATCTTTTGATTCAACTCGTGGATCAATTCCAATCGTTTAGCTATCGAGTCGTCAATCTTTTCATTCGCGGGTATCCAACGTCTTCTGACTGTGCCAGTGAGATCTCCTGTGCTGCGAGGCTGTTTCAGACAATCGATCTTTCGCCGCTCCTGTCTTTTCTTTCGAGATATTGTGCATTCACCAGGAATTCCAATTTCGTACTTCGAATCGCTTCGGAGAACGTTGACGGTATCTTCAGCATCTCGAAACACCTCAACTTTTGGTGGTGCTGGATGTTTTGATGGTGGAGGATATCCCGAAACGTTCAGGAGATCGAGAGATTTTCCACTTGGATTCGATGGCTTTCTACTCTTGTCCATGAAGCCTATCCCTATTTTTTTGTCCGCTCGCATTTCTATTCCTGTGCTGGAGCCACTGCTCAGGCTTATCTTCTCATTGAACTCCCAGTTTATCGAGGGGGCTGGAGAGATTTTAGAAGACATTGATTTTGAAGCTGGTGGGGCTGGAGGAGGTGCAGGGGCTGCTGACTTCTTGGAGCGAGTGTCTCGTTTCATCGATGTTAACACCATTTTCCTCTGAAATCAATAAATTCACATAAATTGTATCGTCATATTGTCTATTGTCATCATCAACTGGTCTTCAATCGTCAAACAAATTTTCGCGGTTGATTCTGATGATTTTAATGACCGAATCGTTATAAATTTCCACCCTAGAGTGGAAAAATTTCTTTTGGGATCTTCAAACCGCGAAAAACACCAATGAATAAGTGACAAATGATTTTAACTCGAAAAATCAGGATGGCGAGTCACGTCGAACCGGTCACTATTCATCTATCCACGCTATCCCCATGAATTCGTGCGAAATTTATCGCTTTATTCGTGAAAATTTATATCGGTACGACGTGCACGATAGGCTTGCCGCAATGATCCTTTCTTCTTCACCTACACCTTCCTCTCTCTCTCTCGTTCACTTTGTGGCTGTTCATTCCCCTGAAACGGATTCCGGGCGTGTCGCCCCTTCGGTATATCCCAACGTAGGTCGCCTCTACATACCGTTTTCACTGGCTGCGTACATTATACATACTCTCCCCCCTGCCCTCTCTCTCTTTTCCATCATGTACCAGACTTTTGCCCGTGAAGGACACGTACCCATACGAATGGCGCATAACAATTGCTATAAAATCATATTTCTGAATTTCTCTTCAACTTTTTACGGATTTTTGTGATTTTTTTTTTTATTTCTCGGAGTCCGGAATAATAAATTTTTAATTAATGAATAGACTGATGGGAACTGCTTTTTATAATAATTTGATAATAACGATAATAATAAAAAATCGGCGATTAATAAACTCGTGAAAATTCTATCTCTCAATCGAACTCGATTGTCCATGAAATTTCAATTTTTTTCTGGCAAACTGTCCAGGACACAGACAAAAAGTGATTCACCGTAAAAAATTGTTTTATCGATATCTCGAGAAGTTCTAGTATTAGTCGGGTCGTCATGCCGATTTTTTCAGCTGAAATTTCCCTGGCTATCGTCCAAACAATCCCAATCTCGGAAAAGATTACAAAAAACAGAAAGTTCCACTCTCAACTTTACTGATGATTGTTTTGACACCCAAATCTCGTAATAACCGAACTCCAACTTACGCTTTCATCGCGATAATTCCGGTCCACCGAATTGCGGTCGCACTCTCGGTCCAAACGACAGAGAGTCTTATCCTTTCGATTGTGAACACAAAAAAAAAACACAAAGAATGTATCTGACCCACTTGAGGCTCAACAAGACCATAAATTATAACTTCCGACGATTAAAAAAAAAATCACATTTACAGCACTAATCAATCACCAAAAAACCCTTTCACTATAAACATTCAATTTCATTCGAATCCACCACAATTTTCCCAATTTCTTAATTATCAAAAATGAAATTTAAAAGCTAGAGATTATTTGCCAAATTTTATCAGTAATTCTCTCACGTACTCGTCACGGATTATCACGAATTATTATTAATTTTTTACAGTAGTAACGGTGTGAGGCTATTTGAAGTTAAGAGAGACTGTTTCCTCTGTCCACAATTGTTAACGAATGACTGAAACCGAGAGGATAGGAGCATTAGCTTACGCACGTTCGGTGCCGGGTGCCACCTGTGCTCCCGTCCTCTACCTGTTGGGCTGCAAATGTATAAAAAAAAAACAGTTGGAAAAGGAAGACCCTGTCCTTTTCTCAACCACGTGCTCGTGTTTGCGTTATTCACCCGGTGGTAGAAGGGAGATGAGTCGTTATGGTATTAAGGTGGGGGAAGGATGTGTTGCTTCCGCCCCTCCAACACTTTCTGTCTGGATGCACCACGTAATGACGTGGGTTTTAACAGTTTGATGACTTTTGTATAGATTTTCACAATTCACTTATAATTAGCATTTATTTTAGGGCTCCTTGCCACTTACACCTCGGATTTTTCACGAAAATTCTAAATAAAAACTTAAACATTTTCTTGGCCACGAGAGTAAATTTTTTTGTAAAGAAAAATATTTCCCCAAACCGTTGGTGATCGTATGAAAATACAAATGTACGATGGACATTTTTTTCAATGTTTCTCAGTCGACTGAGATTTTTTTGAGAAATATTTTGAAGGTTGGAGTTGCAATCGAGAATTGATCGAGAGGTTTTGTTTGGATTGGGATATGAATTTCGAACGACCGAGGTAAACAGAACAACTGTTTGATGATGTCAACAACGGAAATAATTGATGGAACGTGAAAATTGCATTTCGAGAGGGGAAATTATGGAGATTGATCTGGGGTCAGGATTTTGGATATCCAGACGCACTGGTATTGATAACGAATATGGTTCAAGTTAACTGCAGAGATGACTGATGTGTAGTGACGCCTAGAGTTTTTATAAGTAAATAACGCGTTATCATTAAAAAATTACTCGTATTTTTTTATTCGCGACCTCGATACGAATAAAACCATAAGAACAGAAATAAAATAAACTAGAGAAATCTGAGCCTGAGAGTTCCCTATAAAATTAATTAATTGTCTGCCCAATTAATTAGGTTAGTTTATCGATCTGCTGTTTTTTATTAATTATTCCTGGAGAAATACTCGAAGTCTGATAAAAATTTCAATAAAAAAACAATGGAAAATCATCCCGAATTGATAATACTGTGATCAGCATGAGTGTTTATAAAAATTCCACGTGTGTCAATTATTTTGGATTTTGTGTAAAAAATTCTCGACGAGGTACAGGACATGTACTTCAGTCCCTCGTATTTGTGTTCTATTAGCGAGAAATGATAAAGTACATGGGATCAAGTACACGTGCATTCGATGTTGCACAAAATTGCATCACTTGAAATTTACCTTTTACTAGAGTGGGGGTATGGGTTAAGAATACATGTACATACGTGTTCCTAAGCCCCTGGATCTTCTTCATTCTCCCATCCACCGTCGGCTGAGAAAATTGCGGCCCTCTGGGTGCACCGTAGCCATTGAATAATGAAAGAAGCCCCCAGTCACAATCTCCTGAGAGTGTCTGCATATTTATCACTGACATTGAAAAATTGTGAATCAATGCTTTTTGCCACAACCAAAAACAACCACACCCCCGAGGATCTGAAAAATTCCACAAAAACAAATATGAAACGTTTATGCAATAAAAAACCATTCGAACCAACTCGAGTTCGTCTTCCCCTCCAAATTTCTCTTCACAATATCACAATTTTTCTTTGTTATAAACAAAATGGAGGGAGAGCTTGATATATTAATGAGGAAATATCTCACCTGGAATTTACCTTTATCGACTCGCCTCGGGGATGAATTCCTGTCGATTAACGTCGACAAGAGTTTTTAATTACCGAAAGGGACAAAATTATTTTTCCCACGCGTTAACCCGCCATCAGGATGTGGCGAGAGTGACACTGATGCACGTAACGGAGAGGTGTGTCGCCTCTGTTCAACACTGAACTGACAAAGGATTCGCATCGCTACCTCCAGGCGTGTCTATATCAAAACGAATATATAAATCGGTAACAAAAAAACCAGCTCTGAGGTATTTTGCCTCATTTTATATTCGGTAATATCAAATTTAACTCACAATGTAGTCTAGAAATTTTGGGCGGGAGGGACGGCTTGCACCGGAAGTGCGCACTATTTTTTCCAAACGTTTTTTTTTTCATTTATCATCAACAAACGAATTTACAAGTATTCAAATAATTTGTTTATCCTTTTGTGATAATTCCCAGATGTTTTTGTCTTTTTATATGGGTTCTGGGACTGAATTTATTCAGGTCAGAATAAAAAATGAAAATGGAAATGAAAATTGAAATGACTGCAGTAGTAGGGACGCTACGTTAGTTGGTGTGGGGGAAATGGCGGGGTGAGGTGATGCAATTTATTTGGAACATTTGGAGGATTTTGAGTGAGTGATGAGTTGAAGAGACCATTCGAGGGAAATGGAGATTATAGATAATCTTTAGTGCGGAAATGGATGAGATTATCGTGAGTGACAAAGAGTATGAAGAATGAGTTTGGGTGAAAAAGTGTTGCGTAATGAGGAGAGACATTAGAGTTAGAGGAGAGTTCGGGTATGAATCCATGATCAATGGGGGGATCAAGGCTAATTGTCATCAGTATTGATTATCAGATGTCTCCGAGTGTTATCTTTACGGTTTTATATTTCATTCGGTTGTGTGTGAAGTGAAGTGAAGTGAAGTTGAAGTTTACTTATCAATCCTGACTCTTGACAATGATCCGTGATGAATTATCCAGTAAATCTGTCAGGATACGTGAACTGATAAAGTGATATCGAGTTTTTCAAGTGAAATTTCCGTAGCTGCCGACTCCATCCACCGGTACTCCAACAATCCCAGAGTTATTATCATTTTTTTCCCCAAAAAAAGCAAATGAATTGTGAATAAATCACAATTAATCGCGAAAAATAAAGTGCAATTAATTTTCTTGCACTTATTTGCACATTCATTTGTTCATTCCATTTAGAAAAATACAATGGTGCATAATTTTGAACTCCCTTTTAATTATCCAATCCTCTGGGAGTTTCGACCTTCACAATCTGTGCCTGTTCCTTCTCCATTTTTTATTCATTTCTTTACAATATCTACCCCTCTTTTCAACCTCTATGCGTTATGGTCTAGTCACTTCCCCAACTTCCGTTGAAGGTTCTTAAGAAAAATCAGAATTGATAAGTGGGTCGTTACGAATTTTAAAGAAACTGATGAAACTTCAGGAATGGGGTGGAATTATAAGTACGTCTTTCGTGCCAGCCCGCATCAACGGTTTTTCCTGGAGGAGATCGTTATGGGGTTAACCTAAATGAGAATAATAATCCTACTTTGATAAGAAGATATTACAATGGGAGGCCGTAGTCAAAGCCTTCGGCTTTTTTACTTGCAGATATCATAAAGTTCACATCTTACATGAAAAACAGAGAATTGAATTAATGCCTGAATAAATAAAATATCAGGAAGATGAGTATTAATTTGCATCATTCAAGGGGTCAAAATTTTTTAAAAGAAAAATATCAATTGAATTGTCCGGGAGAGATCTCCT